TGTGTTAGGGTGTTCAAATCTTTCTGTTGTAAGATCTTTGGGATCTGGTGTTTTCATGTTGTTTTTCTGATTATTGGGTGATGTTCTGCCTTGGCGCCTGCCCATCTCCTCCTTTCAATGCTATCTAATTTGTCTTTTAAAATCGGATCAGGTTTCTCTGCTGGCCAGAGGCTTCTCTTACTAATTGCCCTTGCTCTGTTTCCTGGCTCCTGCCGGGGGCCAAGAACCCTCTCACCCCTAAGAAGGGTTTTCCGGAAAAGGTCCCGGCTCCCTGTTTGCCAGGGCCCTCGCCAACCAAAGGCCTACCTCTTTGATTTAATTGTATTGGGGCGATGTGCTCTCGGTGTTGCGCTGGTCCCTGCCGCCTGCGACCTCTGCCACCACGCCGGTCCCCTCCAGTCTAGGCCGCCGCCGTCGTTGCCTGCCTGCGCCTCCCAGCTCCGTCTCAGAAGTCAGTATCTTGAGGATGCTAGGTGGGTGCTTTACTCAAGATACCCTCCTAGCCCCTGACTGAAGGGTGTTTTGTTTTTAATAGAAACAACCTGGTCATAAACTAAAGTTTAGATGCTTCTTATTTCCTTCCTGTCCCTGCTTGCTTGAGGCCTGTTAGAAGGAAAATTGGAAGGAAGATGACTAGGTACAAAATTTAAGCTACTATAAGCAACAAATGATCTGAACCAAGAGAGGAAGGATAGACTTAGTGGATTTGGTTGGTAGACTTGATTATTGCATGGGGGTGTGGCATTGTATGTTTATATTCCCCACTTAGAATGGAAGAAAAATTCACAGGAACAAGTGTGAATTTAGGTAGGATAGTGGCACAGGAAGGAGACAGGAGTGCTAGCATGTGTTCTAAGTGGTGTTAAGGCTGACATGTCTTTCTATAGTTCTTATCACACATTCTTCTAGTAACAGACCTTAGTGCCCAAGACCTCTGAGTGTCTCCTTCCCTGGCATTTGGGGAACATTTCCCTGCCATGCTCATCCATCTCACACACTTCTTAAGTGTCCTTCTGGCCTTTGTGGATGTTGGAGTCTGATAGAGGAAAGGACATATGTCAAATGAGCAGCTCCAAACTGTGACAGAACACTAAATGACACCTGTAAAGTGCTCTTGGCATGGCCGGAAGGAGGGCCTGGCCAAGTCTGAGGCCCAGGTTTCACCCAGGAGAACCCTAGTGCATGTGTGCACTTGTCTCTTTTCCTTGCTTGCCCTCGGTACTTAGAATGTTTTCTGACCTGTCTGAGAGAGGTTAAATGCCTGCAGGATGCATTGGTTTGGACTCTGGTCTCTTGCATGGCTGCCCTAGTGATCTTGTCTCCTGTCTTTTACCTTGTGTTTGAGAGGATGCCCCAAGGTGACCTTCTGCTTGATCCTCCTTCTGCCACATTAATTCTGCCCTCATTCTAGGTCTTTTTAAAAAAATCTTTGTGTGTTTACTTATTAATATTTTTGTCACATGTTGTACTTTCAAAAATATTTATTTACTTTAGCGTGTGTTTTGGCTACATGCATGTATGTATGTGTACCATGTGCAAGCCTGGTGCTCACAGAGACCAGTGTGGGAGGGCTGGATTCCTGGAACAAGAGTTAATCATGGTTTTGGATGCTGGGAACTGAACCCGGGTCCTCTACAAGAACAACCAGTATTTCTAACCACTGAACAATCTCCTAAGCCCTGTGCTGTGCTTTCCAGCTGGCGGGGAGACTACAATATGCATTGCTACCCTTTCATCACAACACATGTGACTGTTTCAAACTGGATCAATCAGTCATTCTCATGGATTCTATCAGTTCAGAGGAAGAAGAGGGAGCCCTCTGATTGCAGAGCATGAAGTGAATCTTATTTCAGAAAACCCATGTTTTCTACCCTGCCCATTCCTTTCATAGTTCAGACATGAAGCTGTTGCTGCCTGTGCTTGTCTTTCCTGTACTGCTCTGGTTTTACCTTGTGCCCTTCTTCACGTCGTCTTGGGAACATATTGCTTAGAAGCGAATGGGTGCTGCCCTGCTGTTGTTGTTTGTTTGTCTCTGCCTTGAAACAGACTTAGGACTCCTTCCTGCTTTTCTCTCTTTTCCCTGCAGTGCTGTAGAGTGGCCAGGCAGAGGAATGGGAGCCGGGGGAAGTAGGCAGTGTTAAGTGAAATGCCCACTTCTGGGTGATTTCTTCCTTATCTTGGCCAAAATTCAGTGGCCTGGCCTACCTGAAGCTACTTCTGTTCCCTGGGGGAGTGTGATGCTCTGAGGAAGAGGCCTCCACCAGTGCAACTAGCTTGTCTGCTTGTTCTGCCTGCGTGCCACTTGGAGCCAGTTAGCTGCCCCCACATCCCACCAATCCCCACAGACTCCAAGTAGAATGTTCCAAATCTAGCCCATAATTTCTAGTTTCTAATTGGGGGTATTGCAGGAGGCTATTTTAAGCCAAGCAACTTTCTGAGGCAGCTAAGTTGTAAATTGGCTCCCAGCATCTTCCAGCAATCTGCTTCATTTACACCATAGCAAGGAGAACATTTGAAACTTCTTGATGATGTTTCTTTCTTGATTCATTCACTCAGTAAATATTTATTGAATATATGCTATGTGCCATCAGTGTATGCAATGAGACTTCTCTCACAGGGTTTATATTCTAGGTGACAAAACAAACAAGCAACACACCGGTGATAGTAGGTAGTGACAGATGCCACAGAAGAAGCAAAGCAGGATTGAGGAATAGACTGATGGGGTGGGGCTTCTTCAGAGGACAGCAGGAGGAGAGCCGCTCTGAGGAGAGACCAAATGAGTCAGGGATCCAGCCATGCAGAGTTCCTGGAAGAACCAACAGCTGCCTCGAGTTTGGTTTGTTGGCAAGAGGCTTGGGGCTGCAGGGTGAGGTATTGGTGGAGGAGAAAGGAGAGGGGGTGAGCTCCTGAAGATGCCAATGGGAAGACATGGGATTTCCACATCTTCACATCTGTGCCCTGTTCCCAGGGAAAGATCGTGCCTGACATCACCCCTAGGATTAAAGTTCCAGCCACTTTTGCCTTTCATATGACACTGAGTGGGTCCAACACATAGTGGGCCTCTTCAGTTAGGGTCTAAGTATACACCATAAATTAAAGGTGTTTAGAACAGAGTTTGAACTATTACAAAAGAAATTTGAAAGGAAGAAATGGCAAAGAGATGAGAGTAGAGAAACTAACCTTTGTGTACATGCTTCTTGCTCATCTGTGTAGATGCTTGTGGAGGCTAGGGCTGATGTCAGGAGGCCTTCCTCACTTCTCCACCTTACTTTTCTTGAGATAACACTTCTTATTAAACCTGGTGTTTGCTAGTTTGGTTAGATTGACTGACAAGTGAGTCTCTGGCCCTCCTTTTCTAGGTCCCCAGCTCTAGGGTCACAGGCACAACTGACACTCCTAGGCTCTTGGGAGCTCATGCTCCCAGAACGAGCATTTTACCCACTGAGCCATCCCCTGACCTCATGCACAAACCTTCCTTCTGTGCCTGTGCTAGTGATTTATTGCAGAGTATGGGTGGCTTTCCAAAGAAAAATCCAATAATGCATTTAAAATGAAGAGCATAATGCCAGATAAGATGCAATTTCATCATGTATTGATGATTTGTTTGCTTAGCTGACACAGAGAGGAATGTGTTCATCAACAGTTCTCTACTTGTCTTCCCCTTTGCTACATTTCAGCTTTGCCTTAATTTTATTTAGGATAAAATTAATTACAGTTTTAATCCATTTTAAAGCAAATTCTTGGCTGTTTTTCAGGTCGCTATATCCGGGAGAAGTCTAAACAAGTCATAACTCTGCTGATGGATGAGCAACTGCTTTTTAAAGAGAGGGAAGTGGCAAGCTGGACGAGACAGCGGACCTCATGCTGCATGATGCTTCCCACTGGGTTACCTTCCCCGGGGAACTTGCCTGCAGCATGCGCTTCTGTCCTCATCCCAGAAAACCTTCCCTCCGAGAAGAAGCATTCGCTCCTGACGATTGCGAGTCTACGTAATAAAAGTATGTACATAAGCAGTGACCTAGACCATGACAGGTGTCCACTGAGAGCAGCTCAAAACACAAGACACCAGGCTCATTATCAACACCATGTCAGCAGGACCAACCCACTATTCGACTCCATGCTGCAGGGACCAAAGATGAAGGGGGATATTCAGTAGACAATTCTGAATTCACATAAACCGGTTTTCAGCTAAAACTGTTAGCCTAGCGGCTATGCTATTTGTCATCTTTACTCAGTTTAATATTTTTTTTCTAACTGGAGTATGAGGAGGTTTACTTTCTGAGAGTAGGGGCCTGGGTACATGGGCATGCTTATTTAAATGTTTGGAGATTCTAACATAATTAAATATTCTCCTCGCATGATTCTTTGTAAGGCTTTCCTTTGCCTAAAACTTTAACTCTGGATTACTGATCTTTAAAACAAGGGTGGGGGGAGATAGAAGGTTATCAGGGAAGTGGAACGATCTTTCCTATTAATCTTGTTAAATCATCAAAGAATGATATCTTGCTGTAGCTTCTCCAGCACCCACTGATGAGCTGTGCACGAAGATGGGCAGTTAGAAGAAAACCACAGATGCAATCTGACTTAGTTGCTTCTTCAAAGCAACTAAACTCAGGGCTGAAAGTGCATCCGAGGATTTTCAGAGCTTGCCCCCCCCCCGTCACAGCATGTGTCTATGGCCATGGACTGAAGGCTTGTACCCACCCCCATGGGAATTCCCCAGTGTGCTGACAGCTGGAGGTGTTGCCTCTGAGAGATGATTCAGTCACAGATGTAGGCCCCCCCCCAAGATAGGATTTGAGTCCAGAGATCCTAGGAGCTCTCTTTTACCTTCCTGCTACTATGGGAAGAAGCAGCTTTTTAGGACCTGACCTTGCAGACACCCTGATTATGGAATTCCCATATTCCAGAGCTGTTTGAAAATGATTTCTATTGTTTCTGAGTCACCCGTTCTGTGCTGGTGTCAGTAGCCTGAACCCCACCAAGACATCTGTTTAACAAGACCCCAGAAGAACTACAGGAATTCCGTATGACCAGTTAATTTCAGTTGTCAATGAAGCGCAGAAAGTTTAAAATATCAGCATAATATTAACACAACCTGGTCCTAAATCATCCTTCCCTGTCTTTGTCCAGTGTCTTAAATGTTCGCTCAGTTTGTGCCTGTGCTGAAGGCAGGCATTAGAAGGGCTCTTTGTAACATAACAGCAAGCCCAAGTGCTTCCACAGGCAGTGGAGCATCTTTTTCAGGGGACCCTTTTGTTCTGGAAGAAGTCCTCCATAGCTGACACTAAGAGCACAATACTCAGCTGTGACTGATGTTCAGAGTTTCTTCACCCCTTTTACTGTTTTCTATCACCTTTCTTGCGTGTGTGTGTGTGTGTGTGTGTGTGTGTGTGTGTGTGTGTGGTGTATGTAGGTGTGTGCATGTTGGGGGTACATGTGAATGTAGAGGCTCGAGGTGAACACTGATATCTTCCTTAATCAAATCCCACCTTGTATTTTTGAGACAGGGTAGCTCACTGAGCCTGGAACTTGTCGATTCGAGAGGGTGGCTGGCCAGGGAGCCTCAGAGTCACCTTGTTCCCCCGCCCCCACAATGTTGGGATTACAGATTGTGCTGTGGCAGCTGGCTTTTCCCATGACTTCTGGGGCTCCTCACGCTCAGTAGCCAGGTACTGACTGCTGAGTCCAGCTTCAGAGCTATTGGTATTTGGCCCTCTGTCCAGCTCTGTGAAGCAGAGTTGGATTCTTGTAAGTAATATGTATACATAGGTCTCATGCTTGTATGGCAGGCCCTTTACCGTGGAGCCATCTCCCAGGCTCTTTCGGCTACTTCCTGACTTCTTTCTTCTTGAACTTTTTTACTTGAAATTTGAATGGCCAGAAGAAATTTGGAGGAACAACAATGTGGGAGTCACAATTCCCTTCACCATGGAACTTGTAACAGAGGCCAGCCCAGGGGCACACCTGCACAGAATAGCATGGACCATATTAGACGGCAATTCTTCCTTTACCCAAAGGGAAAGCAGTCAGGGACAGAATGACAGGAATGACTTTATTTGGGGACAGATATGGGGTGGGGCAACGTTTTGGTGGAGGGGAATTTAGATAGACACCTAGCTGCAGTGCTGAACCAGGTGGCCTGGGGAAGGAGCAGAAAGGTCACATGTTCCTGTCCTGAGCCAGGCACAGCTTGGGTGACAGCAAGCTAACGAAGTGAGTCCCTAAGTCACTGCAAAAGTAGCTCATCTCTGAGCCATATTTGTGAGGGACACAAGAAATTTCAGTCTGTTGCTTTATATTCATAGAGTAAGTTGTTTTTAAATCCAAGACATCCAGTGCTATCACACATCTCAGTCACCGGGAAGAGCTCTCAATGGCCTGACTTTTTTTTTCCATCATGAACTCAAGGCACAGCGACCCACAGCTGAGTCTCCAGTATCAGGAGCCCAGTGAGGAGAACTGAGAGTTTGAGGCTAGCCTGTGCCACACAGGTGACCTGGCCTCAAAGGGAAAAAATCCTGGAGCTTTGTTAGAATGCACTCAGTAGACACATATCTAGAATGGCCTGCCATCTTCCAGGCCCTGCACTGCACATGGTAGGCAACTCCTGTGCTCTGTTGTCGTGGGAGCGACATTGCGAGACTTACTGTGCTCTCAAGTCAGCTTCACAACAACGGGCTCCAGGAGTGAGGCTGTGCTGAGTACTGCTTGAAGTGTGTGTTTAGATGCTGATGCTGCTGGAGCCCTGATAATAGAAACTCGGTTAGATTATTTTTGTTTCTGTACTAGATACATAGATGTCTGCATTCATGTTCAGAAAGGAGCACTGGGTCGAGTGAGTTTAGTGTTGTGTCAGCTCCATAGTCACATTTCCACGAAGGTGTCGGATCTCCAGCTGCACTTTAAAGGAAGAAGTAAAGCAGACATTTGGGGATAAGAATAGGAAAAGGAAAATTAATTGGGCAGGGGCCTCCCAGTGGGACAAAGGAAGTAGCAAATGGAAGCCCGGGGGTGGAGAGAAGCATCTAAAGTGGGTGGTCACAAGTCTTGAGCAATAGATGGAGCCACAGAAATCCTAGTGCCTTAAACATAGGGGTCAGTTCTTTCCTTCTGTAGCAATGCAGAGTAGGTGTTTGGGGACTGATGTGGTTTCCTGGGATGCCAGGAGCTTCAGGTTCTGTCTCTTTGCTATACCAAACTCATGCATAGCTACCTGAGTGCCAGCCACCACAGCTGTATTCTAACTAGAAGGAGGAGAGAGGTGTTGAAGATATGAATGCTCCATCCTGCTAAGTCACACTTAACATTTTGGCTTACATATTGCTTATCACTTCGCCACATGGACACTCCTGGTTGCAAGGAAGATTGGATAGCTGTGTGTCAACTGTACTTATTTAGAAATAAGTCAGAAGAAGGAGGGGAGAGTAAGTAGAGGAGACAGTAGAATAATCTCAACCACCATGGGGAAGCGTACAAGCAGAAGGTGGGTTGAATGTGTAAGACCTGCTTGTGTACTAAATGGAATAGAAATGGACTTTGAATATGCAGAGAAATGTGGGCAGATGCTTGAAAGCTTCCTGAGCAATTAGCAAAAGGCATAATAAATGGTATTTGGAAATTTCAATTTGCTAGAACTTGCACCTAGGAAGCAGTTCAGTACTTGAACAGGAGGGATGTTTAGCTTAGTCACAGAACTTCGCTCTTCTTATTACAGAAAACAGCTGTTTTGGGGAGATAATTCTTACTGCTTTGTGTGGAAATGAAGGAGGCGTGGGTCGTAGGGAGACTGTGAGGAGCAATTGTTTCTGTCTGGGCACAGGACTTGCTCTGGGCAGGAGAGATGAGGGGACAGTCATGTTTCAAGACAGCACCACATAAAGAGGCAACAGGCTAAGTGGATGTCCTACTGGAAAAGAAAGGAAGAACTGAAAATGACTTCCACATCGGGTTAGAGGAAAGAGAGGTAGGCAATGACATTGTGCAGGTAAATTTCCATCCGCGGAGTTTAAAGATGTCTCTGCCTTATTTAGTTACAGCGAGATGTGAAATCGAGAGCATCACTAGAAAGCCTGGAGCTGAAGCAGCTGCTCTGAGCTTCGAGGTAAATTTGCAAGGGAAAGGAGCGCTCTGCAGAAGCTTCGCACATCACGGTTCTCATTCCTACTCTTGGATGTTTCCCTAAGTTTTAATTCTCGTCAATTGCTTGGCTGGTTTTTGTTTGGGAGGTTTTGACTTTGAAGGCTAATTACTGTGTGGTGGCGAGCAGCAGGCTGCAGAGAGTAGCAACCCAGCCTGGCTCTCTCCAGAAGCATTGCTTACCCACGCTGACACCTTGGCGCTCTCTGGGGGGTGTGGTCTTTGTAGTAGTTTCCTCTGGGCAGCGGGGAAAGTAATAGCTTTGTAAGCCTTGAGAGCCTTGCTGTGCAGACGACACACGATGGCTGTGGGACAGTTGTCCTGCTGTCACCATCCTGCCACTGTCTGCGCTGGGAGTCAGGCTTGCTCACCTCTGCACACACAGCAGATGAGGATGCTCATAACACACACTGGGTGCCACTGAAACACTTAGGTTGGTGAGGCCTACCTACCGTTGAACTTTGCCATTTTAAAAGTAAGCATAAAACCCTATAGTCTATACCCCTGCCTTCCCAAACCAACAGATTTTATTAAGAGTACTGACTTCAAGTCTGCCTTTCTTTGGTTTTTGTTTTGGAAAAGTTACTTTGTTCCTGTAAAATGATACAGGCTCATTGTAAAGATCTGGTCTCTTCTAAGTGACAATCCTAAATTATATAATGAACATAATTCTAAGCATACATACACACAGAGGTGTCAGTAACAAGAGCTATGGATAGCCTAAAGGAGTGTCTTTTCCTTTGTGGAGGAGAGGAGCAGGGTGTCACTGTGCAGCTCAGGCTTACTTTGAACTCAGCAGATGGAACTCCTATGAGAAGGCAGAGACTTATCAGATGAGGACAAAGAGATCCAGATGCAT